CAGAACTGATAGACCCCCACGAAGAACAGCACTTATAGCCTCTGAGCTTCAACGATACAAAGTGGACATATGCGCCCTCAGTGAAACCCGTCAACCTGACGAAGGATCCATCACTGAATCACAAGCAGGATACACCTTCTTCTGGAAAGGATTATCCCCCATCGAACGGATACATGGTGTTGGCTTTGCCATCCGAGTGAACTCCTTTCCCGGATTCCAGAGTCCCATGTCGGTTTAAGCTCACGACTAATGACCCTACGCATTCCACTGGTAAAGGGATCCTATATGACTGTCATCAGCACATATGCCCCTACACTCGACTCCGAAGAAGAAATAAAGGACACATTCTATGCCTCATTGGATGAAGTAATCCGTAATATTTCCACTTTAGATAAGATCGCCCTACTTGGCGACTTCAATGCCCGAGTGGGGAAAAACTCTAGCATATGGAGTGGAGTTATCGGAAAGCATGGAACAGGAAATATGAATGCAAACGGACTTCGCTTACTATCTATCTGTGCAGAACATCAGCTCTGCTTCACAAACACAATGTTTCAATTGCTCGACAAACTGAAAACAACATGGATGCATCCAAGCTCCAAAAAGTGGCATCTGCTGGACTACGTCATTGTCCGTCATCGTGATATTCGAGATGTACAGATCACTCGTGCCATGCGTAGCGCGGAATGTTGTACCGACCACAGACTCCTCCGTAGCATTTTCCAGACTGTTATTCGACCCTCTGCAAGAAAGCAACCACCGAAACCACGTCTCAACGTTGCGCTATTAAAGAATATCGAGACCAGAAAAGTCATGCAAGACAACCTTCATGAAAGACTCAGTGGACTCTCTGCAAACACAAATTCAGCAACTGACCTCGACATCGAGGCACTCTGGAGCTCTCTTTCGGAAGCTCTTCAGAATGCCTCTAAGGAAGTATTGGGATACACGAGGAGGAAGAATCCTGATTGGTTTGATGAAAACGTGGATGAAATTCTCCCCTTGCTGAATGCGGCATTCCAAGACCGTCTAGCACATCCGGCATCCACAGTTCTCGAGAAATGGAAGAGAACAACTAGTACTCAACGGCGACTCCGTGAGATTCAAAACGAATGGTGGATCAATAAAGCCCGCGAAATCCAGCGTTATGCTGATGACAACAGGTTTTACGAATTGTTTAAAACCATTAAAGGTATCTATGGCCCTTTTCGACGTACATCGATTGCTGTCCGCTCTGCAGATGGCAATACACTGTTGAAGGACAAACAACAAAATCTTGAACGCTGGGCGGAACACTTTCAAGAGCTTCTGAACAGAGTCAATCCGTCGGATCCTACAGCTCTCGATGAACTACCGACTCTCCCTCTGGTTCCAGAACTGGACGAATGTCCAACCCTAAATGAAGTAAAAGATGCTGTCCAAGCTCTGAAGAACAAAAAAACTGCTGGCGAAGACGCAATCCCAGGGGAGGTGTACAAATATGGAGGTATACACCTACTCCTAAAACTCACCGACTTCTTATCCGCCTGCTGGTGTCAGGGTATCATTCCGTCCTCGTGGAAGCACGCAACCATAGTCACCATCTACAAGAAATAGGTGATCGTTCTATATGTGGCGCAACAGCCGCGGTATATCCCTCCTAGATGTTGCTGGAAAAATACTCACCCGAATCATGCTCAAACGACTTACTTACCATGTTGTTGACCTCATAATTCCGGAGACCCAAACAGGTTTTCGTTCCGAACGTAGCACAATTGATGTGATTTTTGTTGCTCGCCAGCTTCTAGAAAAAGCCAGAGAACACCAAAATGACATCAGCTTTGCCTTCGTAGACCTACGCAAGGCCTTCGACATAGTCAATCGTGACTCGTCCTATAGGTAGAACAAAGAAGCGTTGGAAGGACTTCTTAAAAACGTCAATGATCTCCTGTAACATTCCTCCCGAAGACCTCAAAACCCTCGCTACAGATCGTATCACATGGCGGCGGACTATTTCTGAAGGGGTCCTTCGTTTTTAACAAGAGCGAACAAAAATCCAAGATGAAAAACGAGCAGCAAGACATGAGCGAAGAATCAACCCTCCAGCACCTGCAGCCCACTTTTCTTGCCCACATTGCACTCGGATCTGTGGATCACGCATCGGTCTACACTCCCATGTTAAGACCCATTGGAGATGATTGGGATCTAAAGACGGAAACTGAGAGCAACGTCATCGTCGTTTCGACGGACAGCTATTAACTAGAGACAGGTCACTGCATTCAAAACTGATTCAACAATTATGTGGATATTTATTGTACTGTTATTTACTTTCAACTATTTGCCCCGGCTTCACTAATTTTTTAATTGATTTAATATGCTGAATCATTATTAATGGTATACTGCTGTATACCTATTATAAATTTCGATAAATTAATTAACAAATGTCTCATTAATCACACTATCGTAAATAGGCCTATTGAAGTATGAAGCATTATTAATTCTTTATTAAAGCATTATTCGAGCACCTTCGTTATTATTATTATTATTATTATTATTATTAATATTATTATTAGTAGTAATTGTTATTGTCGTGATGGAATAATAGACACTAACTGGATTTGCGTCAGGAGAAACATGTATAGGTGTAATTTTGCCCTACCTGACGTGGAAATGTACCGAATACTCAGCCATTATTAAACAATAATTATACAGCATTTGACACGGACATCTATTTCGATTTAGTGATACCAAAATTTTACAAACTCCAGTGTTACGTTGACGCAATCTCACAATGACGTCATAATAATCAGTGGCGAATTCAAGTGGGGCCGAGCCAACCCTAAATTTAAATTATTTTTTTTTAAATGGAAAAAACAAAAGCAAAATTATAATTAAAATTTAGGTCTGAGTGTGCCATTTCCGGCAATCTAGAGGTGTCACAATCATAAATTATCTTTCCTCAGCCCCAACCATGGTGTGGCTCAGGTGATCTACTTTCACAAATTGTGCAAGTCCTTCCCTTTGCATTCCTGGGGCCGCCACTGATAATGATAAATTAAGTAAATCACCTTATCTTTGTGAAATCAAAATACTAACTAATGTTTTGTATGCTCCCTATCTCCCTAGTCCTGTTTTCAAAATACTCAAATACACGTTTTACATTTGACAAACAAGTCCGACATTTTGGATTTGGATGATGCATCGATGATGATAAGCGCAGCCAAGACCCTATTTTCGCCGGTAAAACCATCGTGGATTCTGGTTCGCTGAAAGTATTGATATGCATGATCGCGGTCGTAAAGTTAAAATAGAAATGACGTAATGTGTACAGCGCCACCAGTGTTAATTTTACACGAATACATTGTTTACTATCGCAACGGCATGTATTTTCGCAAAGCGATAGAACTTTCGCAGATTTTATATGCCTTATAAAACTACAGAATTGTCACGTTTTGGATATTTTTGTATTAAATTGTGGGTTTTAATAAAAAATCTTGAGATTATTAGAAAAGCTGGAGATTTTAGGCTAGTGGCGGGAGAGCTGGAGGTTAGGGCGAAAAGCGGGAGTCTCCCGCCAAATGCGGGAGACTTGGTAGGTATGCTAGGGCCTTAATTGTGTTCTGGTACTGGCCATCACGACAGGTACCAGTGGTAAGCTAAGGCCTAGTATTCACTAAAACTAACATAGCTAGGCCTAGGCCTTTTTAATTAAATATCAAAGATCAAGAAAAATTAATGGTACATATTAGTGTTCAGTATACCGTATATAAATAGTACCGTTTACAGTTTATATATGCCTACATTGAGAAAGGTCGCAGGTACGACCGAATATTCGTAGAAAATATAAGATATATGTTTCGGTGTACCTGAAATTGGTACTTTATTAATTAGTCGGGGACATCGCCCCCCCCCCCCCGTCGGGCAAATCCTGGCGCCACCTCTGCCCAGGCAGAGCTTTCCACGTAGGCCTACCCCTAATACTGTACTGTATTTGTAGGATATGCCTACACTTACACAGTATATTTTACTAGGCCTAGTAATACTATGAAATCAAAAACTACAGTAGGCCTAATCAGGGAATAAGGTTCCGAGCCTTCTATTTATTCAAGAATGGCTCAACTTCGCACTACTCCGTATTACAACGTGTTGCATGCCTGACTGAATTTGAGGGGTCATGTGACATAGGACAGCCAATCAGGCTGCTTAATTCTTCTTCATTGGCAATTCTCGTATAGGAAAAAAATATCGCACGCGAGCCGCATTTGTTTCCACATACACAAAATTACAGCGAGCGTTATTTTTGGTCAGTACTAGACCTCAATCTCGCGAAACAGAGTTCAGTGGTGTATCGAGTGAGTAAGCTACTCTGTTAGAGCATGAATGAACACTATGGAGTAGGCCGAAGTCTGTTTAATAGGCCTTGGTAGTTAAGACAATGTGAAAATGAATGGACTATGATTGTAATATCCTAATTACTAGACACAGTTACATCTCACTGGTTTATGTACAGCATGGTCTTTCAAAGTATAAAGAAAAGCATAGTCTGGTCGTTTTATGTGCCGGGAAAAAATTGTTAACAAAGCTCTTTTGGTATCAATTGATGCGCATGGGTGTCCTCTCATGCGAAAACTCCTCTTCAATTCTCCTTGGGAGAAAAAAAGCTATAGTCATTTTAGTGAAGCCCACCCCCCTTCCCCATTTTCAGTTAAACTTCAATGATTTCTCATGATTTGATAATACTCTAAGCATACCTACATAATTTGTAGGCTGTCGTAACCAAGAATCTATATCAGGTATCTGTAGGAGACCCAGGTGGAACCTGTATGCCTATGGTGGGAGCTGTACGATGTGGGAGGGGAGGGGGAAAGCCCTCAGTAGTTGAAGCATTCTAGCATGTAAATGGCAAAGTTTATCATCTTAATAGTATTTAATACCAAGCTTGGTTAATCACAGACTTTACTTAAAAGGGGAAAGGGGGCCCTCGCGTTAATAATGATGTGGGTGCGAAGAGTTCTCCCTCCTATGTCTGGGAGCACAATTTGTCTGGGGGAAAACCTCTATAATTGATTAAATAAGCCTTTCAAATCCCTAATCGTTGGAGTTTCCAGGTGATTCACTCTTTAGACCCCCCCCCACCTCTCATTGGTGCTTGTCCCCGCCCACTTTGCTGTCGACAATATAGGCCTTTCCATCGGGGACATCGCCCCTTCCCCCTGTCAGGGACATTGGCACCTGTCGGGGACATCGGATCAACAGTCGTAGTGCTGGTATTTACTCGACAGGTGTATGATGTTCCAAAATAGAGGAGGAAAAAATATAGACAAAAATGCAATACATTTTTGCATTGTCTGACTATTAATTAAAAGGGACTGCAATTAAATCGGCCGCGCGATTACTGTTGAGTTTTTTTTTTGTTTTTTTTTTTATACTTTGATTTATATGTCACGATGTATGGTTAATCAAAAAACAATCACACGGAGAATATACATGTGCGTTAATTTTTATAACCTTATTGAAAAGCATTTTATTATATTTTGGTATTTTAAAATCACAAAAGACAATTATGCATAGGCCTATTTAATTAATTTTCTGGTGGAAGTAAAATCACGCCAATCAAGTTTGGTTTTGTTAAGAGTACAGTTGTTGAAAGAATTGCATTATTCTGCTTTTTCCTTTAATAATAAGCTAGGCATAACCAAGTTGTTATAATGTGAATTTTAAACTATAATATTATTAACTAAGATCAATTAAAACATAACATAAAAGAGTACATATCAAAATTATTACGTTTAAACTTTCCTCGTTGGTGTGTGTCTAAAACGTAATGTCTTGGAATTTGGATCTAACATGTGTAGGACCTATAATGATATTGATCAAAAATCGAAATTCCCTGTATATTATGCTAAGCATTTACAGAGTGGACTTCCTTATTTTTCATGCTGCGATTGTCGGACCTCTTGCAGTTTTATGCTTTATTATTTGCCCCAGAGACCTAGTATCCGGATCGGGAGCTAACCGTTACTTTAGCGCTAACGTTAGCAGCTGTGTGAGAACGCCCGATCGGTTAGCGCTAACCGTTAGCGGTATCCGGATACCGCTAACGGTGAGCGCGTTTCTATCATCATCATCTAATCATTCTATCATAAGTTAGGGCTCTCGTGAGAACCAGGCTAAAGAGTATAAAACTGCAAGAGGTCTGACTGCCCTTATTAGACTAGGAAAAAAAATCAAAAAAGAGGCCTAGAAATCAAGTACATATCAAAATTATTACGTTTAAACTTTCCTCGTTGGTGTGTGTCTAAAACGTAATGTCTTGGAATTTGGATCTAACATGTGTAGGACCTATAATGATATTGATCAAAAATCGAAATTCCCTGTATATTATGCTAAGCATTTACAGAGTGGACTTCCTAATTTTTCATGCTGCGATTGTCGGACCTCTTGCAGTTTTATACTTTATTATTTGCCCCAGAGACCTAGTATCCGGATCGGGAGCTAACCGTTAGCG